GTGATTCTGTGATTCTGTGATTCTATGATTCTAAATCATCCTAAAACTGAAATGATGTTTATTTGACTCTTCCACGTGAGGGGTCCTGCGGTTGCCCCTCGGGATTCCTGGGTGGAAGCAGGACATTGCAGCTGTTACACAAGCTGGTCTTTCTGATCATAGACTTCAGACTCCACATTCCCTGCTGTGCAGTGGTGTTCCCAGCACAGGGCTGGGTTGGGGCTGCCCTGGCCCTGGGGAGCTCCGTGTCTGAGGGAGGTGCTGGGGAAGCACAGCCACAACACCCACGTTTGTGTTTTGTCTCCCCCAGTCCCGTGTGATTGTGCAGCAGCCCGGAGAAAGGAGCTTCCATTCCTTCTACCAGGTTTGTATCCCCTTTGCTGGACCAAATCACCTGTGTCCAGTTTCCAGAGTGCCCAGAGCTCTCACCCTCTCCTGTGTTTTCTGGAGGGTTCTCTTGTTGCAGCATCTTGGGTGATCTTGGGTCCTTTAGCTCTTTGTGCTGGGAAGGAGCATGGGAAGACTGATTGTTTTCCATCCTCCAGTCCCTTATTAACACATTTATAAACTCCAGAGGAGGCTGACTAAACAAATATGGTAGGACATTGGACTTTGACTCACTGTTTTATTTGTAGCAAGTCTAATCCCTCTGTTTTCTCTTAAGGCCTTGAGTGCATATGGAAGTAATTTTATGACACCAAGTTGACTTCCTTGGTTTTTTTGGAGGTCCTTTTTAATGTCTTCCACATTGTACAGTGGTTCCCTGGCTGTCCTGTGGGGGATATGGTTGGCCTGTTAGTATAACCTTGATTCTCAGCCTAGCAGGGAGGGAAGCACAGGTTTGTTTATTTTTTCCCCGCTTACTCGGTGCTCCATGATGGCACGTTAGCACTTTCCTCATGGACAGGTCATTTCCATATGGAAAAGTCTCTGTGCAGAGCAGCAAAGGGAAGTGTGGTTGCCAAGACACAGCTGTGGCATGTCACAGATGTAAACAGGGCTGGTCTGTGAGGAGGCTCAGGCTGGTTTTTTAAAAACAGTTGTGACTCAAAAGGCAGTGATTTGGGCAACCACCACCCCACACCGTGCATCCCACACGTGTTATGCTCCTGACTGCAGATACTGGGGCAGGAATTAATATTTTTGTGACTTTGCTTGTCAAGCAGATGAATAAGAAACAGAAAAAGGAAGGGTTTGGTGTTTTTTCATTCACCATTTCTTAAACTCCTCTTTGTGCAGCTCCTGCAGGGAGGTTCTGACCAGCTGTTACGTTCCCTGCACCTTCAGAAGGACGCCTCAGCCTACAGCTACGTCTGTCCTGGGGCACAGATCAAGGTGAGCCTGGCTTGGAGGCAGCTTGCCTTAAAACTGTAAGTGCTGCTCGAAATGCTCAAAGCACTGCTGAGCCAGCAGAAGCTGAGACCAATATTTATGGGATGAATATGGAAAGGTGACACTGGTGTTTTATTTTTAATGGAGTTTCTGGCCCTTGGAGACAAAGCACGTTGTGTGCTTAGAATCATAGAAAAAATAGACTTGTGTATATGCAAGTGCAGTTGTGCATCCTACATTTAAACATTGTAATAATCACTACATTATAAAAAGTAGTAAAATTATGTGTTGATTAAGGCAGGTGTAGATATTTGACCTGTTACCAGTGACAGACATTCCATTATGGAGAACTTAAACTGTTTTCTGGACCAAAAAGCCATAAGGACTCATTTCTTTACAGTAGGACATTTCAGTTACTGAAGCATTCAGTCTTCGTGGCCTCAAGGAAAGAGGGGAACAAACCCATGAAGTGTTTAGGACAACAAGATCAGGTGCCCTTGACTTCAACTTGTTAGGTGGGACTGTCACACAGTAGACATTAAGAGGTTCAGAAAATTGCTGAAACAAGTTGAAGATAATTTCTTGATACAGGTAAAAAAAATAAGCCAGCTAGGAAAGGCACCTCCTGGGTAAATAGAATGGAGGTAATGTGATGATTGGTGCCTGTCTTGGCCACAGTGATCATGAAAAGATTGCATTTTAAATCTTTGGTGATAGGAAAAAGCTGTCAGCAGAGGTACTGCCCTGGATTTTGGGAGAGCAGGCCACAACATGCACAAGGAACTATTTATTAAAGTTCCCTGGGAACCTGTTTTCAGGAGTATTGAGGTCCATAAATACCAGACACTTTTTGAGAGGTGTCTTTCCAGAGCAGAGGAGGAGACAATTCCAGTGTGTCCGAAGTCAAACAATCAGATGGTTGATTGAACTTGACTGAACAGGGATCTCCTCCTGGAAATTAGGAAGGAAAAGAGAGCAAGGTCAGGCTCCATAGCAGGACTGCAGAGATGCTGTTCACCACATGGTCAGATGCAGCTGGAGTTGTCCCCAGTGCTGTCCCTCGGAAGCAGAGTCCAAACAAAAGGCTCTCTGATGTCCCAGTGGCTTTCCTGAGATTCTCCTTGGCACAGGAACCCACAGACCAAGAGATGCCTGATCAGCTCCTCTGGAAATCTGCAGGGAAAGCAAACCCAGGCATTGGGAAGGAGGGAGACAGAGGCTCATCTAGAGGAGGGTGGAGAGCAGAGGTTTCCTGCTGGTGCTCTGCAGCTCCTGCTTGGAGGGTCTGCGAGGGCACAGCTTGTCCCTGCTGCTCTGGGTGTTCTTATGAACCACTTCTGCTCTTTCTCACTGAATTCCACTGGGAAATCTGTTGTGCTGGGGTGGATTTCTGTACGTGTTCTGTACACCAGAACACGTGTGTGCAGTGCAGGGTTCAGTGTCCAGGCATGTGAGATGGCATTGGAACAAACTGGGAAACCTCATGGCAGTGTCTTGCATCTGAAAAATATCAAAGTACATATCTGTTTCCCATGGGCTTGGGAAAACTTTACTGAATCCCATTAAATCCACGCTGTCCCAAACTCCTCTTTGCCCTCAGTGTTCCATCAATGATGGTGCCGAGTTCAAAGCAGTGGCTGATGCCATGAAAGTGATTGGCTTCAAGCAAGAGGAGATCCAGACTGTCTACAAAATCGTGGCAGCCATTCTTCACCTGGTAAGGTCCCTGCTCCTGGGTGTCCCTGGGCTGTTCCTGGACTGCCAGCAGCTCGAATTTTCCTGCTGCAGCAGCAGTTGGAAGGTCTGTTGGCTGGGAAAGTGTGCACAGCTCACAACTCCCAGTGGTGAGGGAAACTCCTGGCTGGAACAGGACACGGGGAGGATGGAAGATCACATGTATTCCTGCACATTCCAAATCACAAACCAGACACACCACTAAGTACTGGGAGCTGTTAAATGTTCTGAAAAAGGAATTGTTGGGGTTTGGCAGGGAGGGGGTGGGGAGCTTCTGTCCCCTTTTGCCCTCACACACCATCCCCACGGTGGTTCTGCTGCAGGGGCAGTGCTTCACTGCATGGTGAGGCTTGAGCACAGGCCACACAGGAGACCTCTTAGTTTTCCATTTTCCGAGGCTCAGGAAACCCTGGAATGCCCTGGGTTCTCCTGGGACCCCCAGAGCCTCCTCCCCTGCGCAGTGTCCCTGCAGCTCGGCTCTTGGGTTTCCCTGAGGGGAGAGGAGGGTGGCAAGGAACACTGCAGCTCTGCTCCAGCTCCTTCTCCTCCCTGGGATAGCTGTGCCCCAGTGCTGGGGGGAACAGAGGCAGAGCAGAGTGGGGAACAGGCAGGGTGGGAGAGCACCCAGTCCTGGGGATCACACAGTGCTTAACCCTGGCAGGGCAGGTACCCGGGAGCAGAGCTGTGGAGGTGCAGTGCTGCCAGTCCAGTCCCCATGGCACTGACCTGCCAGCTTCCCCACAGCATTCCCATTCCCTCTGTGGGCAGGAGAACTGCAGCCAGTGGTTCTGTGGTGGGCTGCAGTGAAGATGCATCCAGTGTTCATATCCACAGTGTCATTTCTCATCCCTGGACTCTCAGCCTTGAGACGGTGTTTGATTAAATCTCAGGAGGTGTTTGATGTGATTTTTCCCAAGAGCTGGACTGAACACTGAGCAGGGATGCTTTGCTTTGAGTCAGGCTTTGCTGCTTCCACTGATGGTGGAGCTTTGTGAGCACGTGGATGTGCAAGGCCCACCCTTCCAGTGTGGCAGGAGGTTGACTGCCTGGCACAGCAGGTGGAATACGGGTGGAAATGGGGGCGGACGAAGGAAATCGGGCAATTCCTGGACACAAAAGGACGTGGAGGAACCCACCTTCTCCCTGCTTGTTGCAGGGGAACTTGAAGTTCTCCGTGGATGGAGACACTCCCGCGATCGAGAACGGGCAGGTGGTGTCCACCATCGCAGAGCTGCTCTCCACCAAGGCCGACATGGTGGAGAAGGCCCTGCTGTTCCGCACCGTGGCCACGGGCAGGGACGTCATCGACAAGCAGCACACGGAGCAGGAGGCCACCTATGGCAGGGATGCCTTTGCCAAGGTGAGTCCCAGCTCCCTGTCCCTGGGGGGTGACAGTGGCTCACACACCTTCCCCCCACCTGTGCCCCCAGTGGAGCTTCTGGCCCTGGAGACAAAGCGTTTCTTGGAATCACAGCAAAAAACGTGCTTGTGCACTGCTTAAAATACACATATTTAAATATACAGTGTTCATCCCACATTGAAACATTCTAATGTTCGTTACCTTATAAAAAGCAGTGAAATGATTCATTGATAAATGCAGGTGTGGATATTTGACCTGTTAGCAGTGACAGGCATCCTGTGCTTCCTGATGGAGAAGCTGAACTGCTTTCTGGGCCAAAAAGCCATAAGGACTCATATTTTACAGTGCTGGTCGAGCTGCACTCGGTACAGCAAGGAACAGTGATGCCCCAGGAAAGGATTCAGTGTGGAATTGCTGTCAGAACTGCACAGCTTTCAGTGCTCAGGAGCATTCCTGGGTGGATCAGTGAGCACAGTGCTTGCTGTGCATCGTGTGGGTTTGGTTTCTGGGTGTACACACACTCCTGTGTTCTGTTGGGGATTGTGGCACAGCCCCATCCCTGTCCTTCCCAGCAGGGATCCAGCACCACAGCCAGCAGGAGGGCAGGGGCTGCAGGCCAGGCAAAGGGAATATGTCATCCAGGGTGGGATGTTTTGTGAAATAAAATTAATTTAGCAGTTAAACACAAAGAGCAGAGTGTGAAACTGCAGTATCTAGAACACAGGTTGCAAACCCAAAGTGTTATCTTTTTTTTCTTTTTTTAATAACCCCAGAATGGTTTGGGTTGAAAGGGACCTTAAAGACCATGTAGTTCCAACCCCCTGCCATGGGCAGGGACACCTTCCACCACAAAGGTGGGTACTGATGGCAGGAGTGACAGTTGTCCCTCCTTTGCTAAGAAATCAAATGATAGGGGAAGAAGAGATGAAGTTATGAAGATCCTTGATTACTAACTTGACTCCTTTTCCTGATATATGTGTGCCCAGCTCCACAGCACATTTTGAACATGCAGACTTTGAAGACTCTGCCTACAGAACATTTTCTGTTTGAAAGGGGAACTGGCATATTTTCCTGCCGTTGTGTTCAGTCGTTAGGTTTCAATAACTGACCTTTCACTTGGCTCTTCTTCACTATTGTTAAATAATTCTCAGGAATGGAAGTTATTAGGCAGCTGAAAAGCCAACTGGGATCAAATTAGGGAGCTGCTGTACCCAGTGACCTCGCTGGGATTTCGACTCTGTATGAATGAGTTTGGGAAGAAAGACAAGAACTATTTTCCTGGAGTATTTTCCTCAGTGAGTGGCTGCTCACTGTTAGCAGGTTGTTATCCATAGCTTTGGTGGAGGCAGGGCAGGGATGAATTTGCTGGGCAGGAGCAGCAGAGCCCTCAGGGTGTGTGTCCTGCAGGCCATCTACGAGCGTCTCTTCTGCTGGATGGTGACACACATCAATGACGTGATCGAGGTGAAGGACTACGACACCTCCGTGCACGGGAAGAACACGGTCATCGGGGTCCTGGACATCTATGGCTTCGAGATATTCGACAATAACAGGTGAGCCCCGTTGTCAGAGCCCAGTGCTGAGCCTTCTCCCTTCCCAGGACACTCATCACCTTTTCTTTGTTCTGTTATTGCAGCTTCGAGCAGTTTTGCATCAATTACTGCAATGAAAAGCTGCAGCAGCTCTTCATTCAGCTGGTCCTGAAGCAGGAGCAGGAGGAATACCAGCGAGAGGGAATTCCCTGGAAGCATGTGAGTGCCCTGGCAGGGCAGGGAGGGGTCGGGCCGAGGTCAGTGGACCAGCACAAGTCCCAGCTCTGAAGCTGCTCCACGTCCCTGCTGCAGTCGATGGGACATGTGTGTCCCTGCCAGCTGTCCTGGCAGATGTGCTGTCACACCAGGCTGGGGCAGGAGCCAACCAGTCACCTCAAATATGGGAGAATAAGGCACTCCAGGTCTGAGAGAAAACCTGCTGTGGCATCTCTGTGATGCCACACACATCACTGTGTGTTTCTGTTCTGAGTGCTTCTGTATTTGGTCTAGTTGTTGATATTAACATGTAAAAATCTTGGCTTTTCCTGTTTAAATTCCCTTCAGGATGCCAAGGACAGGATGTGCAGTGTCACTGTGGTGACTGCACACAACTGAATTCTAAAAAGCATTTTAAAGTGCATTTTGTAGCAGAGGTTTGTATCTGAGGGGTTTGAAAAATTATTTTCTCTGCTGTAAAGTGGTAAAGAGTAGCCTGTTTGATTTGGAATTAGAGATCTGCAGACTCAGAGCTGATTGCTTCTCCTGTGCACGGTGGGCCTCATCCTCACTGTCAGCACCGGGACCCTCCCTTTTCTCCAGCCAAAGTCCCAAACCCCCCTGTTCTTTGTTTCCTCCAGATTGATTACTTCAACAACCAGGTCATCGTGGACCTGGTGGAGCAGCAGCACAAAGGGATCATTGCCATCCTGGACGACGCCTGCATGAACGTGGGGAGGGTCACGGACGAGATGTTCCTGGAGGCTCTCAACAACAAGCTGGGGAAGCACGCCCACTTCTCCAGCAGGAAGGTACCCTCTCCTGCACCCTCAGACCTTCCTTTCACCTTCCCCAGGCTTTGCTGGAATAAGGAGGGAGGGTTCTGAGGGGTGGCTGGGCTGGAATCGTCCCGGCTGAGTGTGAGATGAGGTGCAGCCGCAGTGCCCAGCCCCGGCTCGGCAGAGGGAGCTCCAGCACGTCCGATGGCACATCCCTTTTATTCCGGGATAAAAGGAGCCTGAGCTCGTGCCTTGACACATCATGATGTCATCTGTAACCAATCGATGCTCCGCTCCAGCCCACGTGCTGCTCTGCCCAGGCTGCTCTAACGCACAGTGACAGTGAAATTATCCACACTCCTGCTCTGGCACAGGAGTGCTGGGGGTCCTTCCCCTCGTCATTGGCTGCAGAACGTGCTCATCTCCCCCTGTACCTCGCAGCACCCAGGCCCCCCCTTGCCTGGCTTTGTCTGGCCTACAATGGGCGAATTAAAAGGCTTCATTTATTCCTCACTTGGCAGCAGATTGCAAAAATGGTCACCAGCCTGATTAATTTGAGAATCTTTCACACTGAGTAATCAAATAAGGGCCTTTAATTTATTGATGTCTCCCCGCTCAGAAGCGCTGTCTGAAATGCTCTGTGAGTGCTGGTTCCCCCTCTCCCCTCCCACCCCGGCACAACATTTATGTAGGTCAGAAATAGCAAATTAGCCTGGTTGTGTAAGATATGTGCTAAAGGCTGCCTCGGGGGAGCCAGGGTAAACAATGCATCTGGCTGGGAATGAAAACAAACCAAAGCCACTCTTTCCTCCCAGATGTGGCTCTCCTGAAGTGCCCTGTGGCACTTGAGGACACCTCACCTGCCACGTGCACCCGAGCTGAGGGGGGGATCAGGGATCCTGATTCCAGTGTTGACCCAGATCCAGCAGTGACATGGCACGTTCTGGGAAAACTCACCTGGAAAACAAGGGAAGCCCAGTCTGGGTTCCTGTTTGAGTGCAAACTGCTTCCTTTAATGCTTGGGAATAGTGAGACCCATCCAGGGGGGATGGAGTCTGGGATCTTCTGCAGGGGGTTGGGGTGGGATTGGTCCAGTTTCTGGAGCCTCTGGTCAGTGGATGTGGAGAAAGGAGCTGGAACTGGGTTCCTGTCCTGTGCTTGGTCTCAGGGGAAGGGGTTCCACCATGGAGGGAGCAGGTGGTCCTTCAGGGGCTGGAATTTCATAAAGTGTCTGGGAGGCTGTAAAACAAAACATTAAAAATCAACTCTTAGCTCGAGTCCTTCCCTTCAGGAGTCCCTTCCCAGCAAGGAGACATTAAAGGACGAGGCTGCAGCTGCAGCGTTGCTCAGCAGGAGGTGGCGTTGTCAGGAACTGTCTGCACAGACTGAGGGGGAAACAAGGAATCCTGCTATAAATAATGCTTATGGAGGGGATGATGGATCTGCCTGGCTTGCTAATTTCTGGCTAAATCAATAGAACCTTGAAAACATTGACCCACAAACCTCTCAGTATAATTATTACTCTTCCTCCCCCTCACGTCTCTGCAGTCGTCCTTTACCAGCACCTCAGATCTCTTCCCACCCAGAACTGCTGGAGGAAGCCTGAGCTTTCCAAACCTGCCTCTTCCAGCGTGGATTACAACAAAGGGCTGGATTTCGTGTCAGGATTTGCCTTGGCAGGGGCAGTGGGTCCATCCAGACACCGGGAAGTTCCCTGTGGGTGGAGGCTGTTCCTAAACACATCCTGTGCTGATGTGTTGGGAGCAGCTCCCACCCTCAGCCCCAGTTCATGCCCCACTGCCCCCCTGGCTCCCTGTGGATGAGCTCTGGGGGGCTGCTGTGCCCTAAATAGTCCCTGAGCCCCGCCTGGCTGATCCCAGCTGCCTCCTTGGTTGTCCTGGTGAAGGCCAAACAAACCCAGGGAATGCTGGGGAACACTTCCACTGTGGGCATTTGGGGCAAAATGTTGTGTTCCTGGAGCAGGGGTTGTCCTTCTCAGAGCTGTCTGACTCTGGATGTGCAGCCTGCTCCGATGGCACTTCCCAACATCACTGTTTGCTTTCCTGGCCTCTTCCAGTTCTGACTCTCTTCTGTTGGTGTTTACTTTGGAAGGATCAGGTGCAGTGAGTGTCCATGAATGCCCAAATCTTCATAGTGTGGAGAACATCAATCTCAACCAGGTGGTTGTGAAGGGAAGAGTCTCAGTCACAATGTCAGTCCATGCTGGTCCAGCTGATGTTGTGTCTTCCAAGTCAGTGGGCAGGAGGGTCTTGGAAGTAGGAGAGAGATCGACATGGGACAGATGTGTAATGATAACATGATGGACACACTCCCACTCCCCAGTGATCTGCAGCCCAGGAAGCTCCTGAATCACTGCTTAATAGATCAGGTTTTTTGTTCTTTTTTTTAACTGTCAAAGAATTCCACAGCTTAGATACACATGTGGAGTGCTCCTTCCTTCCTGTTTTCCTCTCTCCTCCCTTTTCCCTTTCAGGTTCCATCTCTCACCTCCTAGTTTTTAAATGGCAAACCATGGTTCACACCATCTCCATGTGATTTGCCATTGTCTCTGGGCATTCCTTTCTTAACAGTTATGTGTGGGGACCCTTTTTCTTTTCTTTCAGAGCCCTTAAATTCCGTGAGCTGTCAGAGAGGAGCCTCCTGGAAAGGCTCACAGAAAGCCAAGCAGATGATCCCCGGTGCTCAGAGACTTGCTGGTCTTCATTTTTTATGCTAATTTCAGCAGATTTGCTCAGTAGACACAAAGTTTGGACAGAATCACTTCTTAGAAAAACAAAACCCAGAACAACAAACAACAAAATCACTGATCCATGTTATGGCACCTCCCAGTCTCTCCAGAGCTGGATGAGTTTTAGGAGGAGCTCGTGCTGCCACTGGGTCCTGTCTGGTAGCACAGGCACGTTTCCTTTGGCGTTGGCTTTATACCTCTTTTATTGACTCGTTGCTTTGAGCTGTGTGTTTGGGTGGCAGAAAAAGGCTTTGCACCCCCCCAGCCCTGTGCTGGGAATGCAGCTGCAGACAGAAAAATGACTTTGTTTTCCTGGTATTGCCTCGTTTCTTCATTTTCTCTCTGTTTTGCTGCACCTTGGTCATCCATCACCCCTGCAGCTCCTGCTGCTCTCCCTGCTCCTGCTGGGCTGACCTTCCCACACCTCTGGAGCCTCCTGGGCACCTTGGAGCCCACACTGCTTGGGTTCCTCCTTGGGGTTTGTTTTGTGTAAAATATATTCTGTGTTGTTTTTTTCATCCATTCTGTCAGTTTGAGCCAATCTGTTTTCTCCTCTTGGACACGGGTGAGTTTTTGGAGGGTATCATCCTGCTCCCAGTCACCTCTCCTGCCCTGCACTTCAACCATGCTGAATTCCTCCTTTATTTCCCCAAGACTTTGGGGGGATTGCAGATATTGCTCCCAGCCCTCAGTGTTGTTAAATGGTGCCTGTGCTGCCTGCAAAGACTGAAGTCATCTCCTGCCCCTTTTGCCTGTAACAAAAATGCTCATTTTTTATCTCATTCTCCTTTTTTAATTAAGCTGAACCTGATGGATTTTTTTGGCTTCTGCTATTCCTGAAGGGATGAGTTTATTAACAGCCACTGCTGCTGAGCAGCTGCCACTGGACATCCCTTCCAGAAGGGATGGGATGGGAATTTGAGCTGGAGTGGTGGATCTGCAGGGGGGTCCCTGTTTGAGGGGTGTCAGATGACCAGGAGTGCTCTGGGACAGAACAAGCCCTGCTGTTGTAGCTGTCACATTTTAATTGGCTCATTTCTTTGCCGAGCAGTGACACAGCAATGGGAGAAATATAAAGGAAGACTTAAAAAAGAGTCACAAATGAACTCGTGGGTGCAATGTTTCTCTACAGGCACAAGTGTTCTTTCTGCATAATGGTGTTTCTGAGAAAATATCAATTTATTTAATAAAACTACAGGCTCTTGCAGCTTGGTTTTGTACAAATTTATGTTCTTGTGGTATGAAAAAACGTGATCAGTATTTAACTGGATTTCACATCTGCACATACATATATGAAGTGGAATAATTAGAGTTCCGTGAGGGCTGTAAATCCAGGGCTGATGCTTTCCTGTCAGTCCAGGGGTGATATTTTAATGTCTGTGGATTTATTTCAGCTTTGTGCCACGGACAAAACGCTGGAGTTCGACAGAGACTTCCGGATCAAACACTACGCTGGGGATGTGATGTGAGTCCGTGTCACAAATAAAAAGTGGCACCTTCTATTTTTGTCCTTCCCCCAGCTCTGGAGTGGTACAATATTCTGATTTACTGCTGCTGCTGGTGCGAGCCAGAACTCTGTCACCCACAATTACAGTGTGCAGCACTTGCTTATCAATTAAATCTCCTGCTCTCCAGAGTGGGGGTTTGTGCTTGGAACGAGACAAAAGGAGGGTGAGGGGAGGGGGTGAGGGGAGAGCTGTGCTCCAGGGAAAAAAGGAGGGGAAAAAAAGGCAGCAGTGTTTGTGCAGGGAAGCTACACTGAGCTAATAAAATCTGGTTTAGACATCTGTTTAGAGCGATTATGTAACTCTGGCTTTACATTCTCAATCAGTTTGAGCTCAGAGCACGGGAGGGTTTAACCTGCAGGAGGGTTGGCAAGTCAGGGATGTGTGCAGGAGGTGGGAGCAGTGGGAAGGAGGAGTAAGTGCAAGTGAAAGGTGCACATGTTCCCTGGGAAAGCTGTTGTCTGGAATATCACTGGAGTTGTTTAATGCTGTGGGATTTGTGTAATTTCCTGTGACAGCAGAATCTAAAGGGAGTCACTGAGGAAATAATTCAGGATTTCTTTTACCTTGGGATTAAATTTACCTTCAATTTAGAAGGGTAACCAGTGTGTTCATATTGGAGATTTGAGGGTGGGGAGGCCCTGGCACAGGTTGCCCAGAGAAGCTGTGGCTGCCCCTGGATCCCTGGAAGTGTCCAAGGCCAGGTTGGACAGAGCTTGGAGCAACCTGGGACAGTGGAAGGTGTCCCTGCCCATGGCAGGGGTGGGATGAGATGGGCTTTAAGGTCCCTTCCCACCCAAACCATTCCATGATTTTATGGATTGAGGGTGGCTCCATGCAGGGATTTGCATGCTGTGGGGCTCTGGATCCCAGAGCTGCAGTTTGGGTGCAGATTCCCAGGTGGGATCTGGAGTTTGGGAAGGAACTGAGTGGGAGTCACTGAGTGGGGAGACTTTGGACCTCTTCCCTGAGCACAGAGCACTTGAGTCTTGGAGAAGAGATAAAACCCTGAAGCAGTGATGTTCCAGAAACATCCAGTGATGTTTCTGTGGGAATAAAAGTAGGAAGGAGTCCAAAATGTGTGTGTGTGTGTCTTGATTTCCAGGAGGGTTCCCCAGGCACTGGCTATAGGCTGCTCCTGATTTCGGGCCCTCTCCTACCAGAGAATCTTCCCTGACACCAAGCGAGGGGCAGATTGGACATACTGGAACCAAACCTTCATTTCCCTAGGATTTAGCTCAAACACTCAGTTTGGAGGCAGAAATCCTGAGTGTAACTCTTGAATTTGGGCCACCTACGACCTGCCCAAGCCCTGAGAGGTGTCTCAGCCTTTCCCTGCACAGCTCAAACACCTTTCTGAGCCAGGGATCTGCAGTGTCTGTAGGAGTCCAGGGATGCTGATTCCACCCAGAAACCACAGTTCACAGAAGGACTTTGCTGCTTTGCAATTAACTCTGTTTTCTTTTTTTTTTTAGCTACTCAGTCACTGGATTTATTGACAAAAACAAGGACACTTTATTTCAAGACTTCAAGCGCCTCATGTACAACAGGTAGGAGCATTAATGAGGTGAATTTTAAGCTGATTTGTCAGAATCCTGTTTTGTGGAGTGGATGGGAGCAGAGACTGAGCTTTCCACTGGTTCTGTCTCTGTGAATAAACACATTGCTTGGGGATCTGATCATTGTTTGTCCACCGTGACCTGAGGGCTCTTACTTTGATTTTTCAGGTTAAAATCCCTGTACATGTTGGTTTTGTTCTGATACAGCCTTTAATTGAACTAAATGTAAAGTGTTGGTTTGAAACCAACTGACTGTGCAACCAAGATAGTGCAGAGATCCCTTGTGCTGCCTGATTTGTCATTAACCAGGTTGTTGCAGATGTGCCATCACTGCTCTGGCCTTAATCAGTGCTGAAGATCCTGAGCAGCTTTGGTCAACAACAGATATCCTTGGCCTCAGCTAAAACACCCTGTTTGGAAAGAAATGACAGGGTAAACTGGGCAAATAGATTTGAATCCTTTTGTATGTGCAGTGACATGAGAATGTAAACCATGAAGTCAGGAGCTGGGCAAGGCAAAGTTGCCTTTGAGAAGCAAATTGGAAACCCATCAGAATATGTGTGTGAGTGCCCAGAGAGCTGCTTTCCTTCACAACTGGCATTAAACCTGGTCTGGCTTTGGTAACTGTGGCCCCTCTGCAGCTTTCAGAGGTGACAGTGGCACAGAACCCTGTTTTACCTGGGCAGTGGTAACTTGGTTCCCTGTCCTGTGGTGTTGGCTCGCTGTGCTCCCCTGAACAGCCCCACTGTTCCTGTTTTCAAGACTTCCCATCGACCAAAAACCTTGCAAAATATTTGCTGTACGGAGGTTTTGTTATATTTAGCCTGTTTTCTGTGAGGTCTCTGGAAAAGCCTGTTCCCAAACAGCACATTAAAGCTGTGACAGATTGGCCATTGCATTGCTGGAGCTGTGCTCTGTTCCTGTCTGTTCCCCAGCTCTCACCATCCATCAGGGCCACTTTACCTCACCCTCAACCCTTCAAAAATATAGGCTAAAGTGTATAAATTGCTTTATGTATCCAGAGTGGTGCAGAAATACAGCTTGAAATCAGGTCACAGGTTCCCAGGGAGGATGTTGCGGGTCTTACTCTCTTCTGTTTTGATTAAATTCTTTATATGTTGTGTCTGTAAATCAGACCCTGCCTTTGATGGATCACCCCAGAGGGATTGTCACTGTCCCAGCCCTGCACATCCTGATCTGAAGAGACGAATGTGCTGCTTGTTTTTCCAGAATATTCAGTTATAAGCTTGAACTTGCTCTTAGAAGCAGGAGATGTTGTGCCCAGGAGTGTCACTCTGATGCTTTGTGAGCTGAAAGCAGCAGTGGAGCTGGGCAGGAACGAGCTCCTGAATTTTGAATGGAGTGGAAGTGCTGTTAGAGTGGGAATTAAAGAGACTCTCTCGTAGCTCCAACCCTGTGCTGAAGATGATGTGGCCTGAAGGGAAGCTGAGCATCACTGAGGTCACCAAGAGACCTCTGACAGCTGCTACTCTGTTCAAGAACTCCATGATTGCACTGGTGGACAACCTGGCACTGAAGGTAAAGATTCCTGCTTCCAAACTGACTCCAGCCTCTCAGGAGCTGGGTGTAGCTTCTCCCTGGAGACACTACCCCCTTCCCATCACTGCCATCCCTCAGGGAGTGAGCTGAGCAAAGGCAGAGGAGCTTTGGATGTGCCAGTGGGCAGCTGGGAAGGTCTCATGGGAGGGTCACCTGGAATTCTGGTTCCTCTGGGACCAGGGGAGCTTTCACTCGTAGGAAAGCCAGTCTGTCTTAGGTGATAGTTATTATACCAAATGAACAATTATCTTTAGCAAAGCTCTTGGCAGAGGGCCCAGAGGAGGTTGTTCATGGTGCAGAGATTCTCTCTGGCTTCCGAATCCGATGGGTTTCCATGAAAATACAGCCAGGCCTGTGTGAGTTCCTTCTTCCCTCCTCTTTGCCGTGGCAGAGGGTGAGGAGGGAAACCTTTTATTTCACTGAATAATTCAGTTCTGTAGTGGAAGGCATGGCTTGGGCAAAGCACCACGTTGTGTGGAGGAAGGTGGGTGAGGGAATGATGTGGGAAGGGGCTGTTTGAGGGGGGGATCCCTGGTGTGAGCAGAAATCACCTCCTGAGGGGGTCCAGTGCACCCAGAAACCCTGGGGTGTTGTTGGGGAGGGCTGTGAGCAGGGGGGACAGCAGGGAGGCTCTGCAGGTGTCCAGGGAAAAGCTTCATTTCCTTGTTCGTTGGAATAATTATTCCAGGCCACCTGGAAGTTGTAAAAATAGAATAGTCAAGAGAATGGCCTGTGGTGTTTTGAACAATCCCTGCAGCTCCCAGCAGGGCACAAGGGCTTTGAGTGGCACCTTCTCCATCCTGAGTCAGTGGTACCAGCATTCCTCCCTGGAATTGGCTGGGCTGTGTGGAGTGAGCCCCTCTCAGGCCATTTGTCATCAGTGTCTCTCAAATGCCAGCCTTTTCAAGGCATAACCAGGAGCTGTTTCCAAGCCAGATTCCCAAGGAGGTTCCTGTGTGTGTCTCAGTGTGGTCCTTTCCCATTCTTTACCTTCCCTAAACCTTCACTGAGAAACTTGTATTGCAGATGTCGGGGTTTTCCTCGTTTTCTGTTGGATTGCATTGGGGAAAATTGTCTTGGAGTGTTGTATTTCCCATGGATCCCATGAAGGGAAGGCTCTCATGGAACAGGTGTGTCTGCCAGGACTTGACAAGGGCTGTGCCTGGCAGGAAGGAGCCAAGGGCTGCCAGGGTGGTGCAGGGCTTTATGGCCAACCCTGAGTGTGCTGGAGGGCTGGGACAGTGGGGGTGACACACACTTTGGGGTCTGCACTTGGAAAGTTCTCCTGGTGATGCTCCTGCACAACAGCCTGTGCAGGTACTTCATGTGCAAAGTGAAGGAACCTGGATGAGCTTTAGCCATTTTCCATGGAGATCCTGGCTGTTCTACACCTTGAAAAACCCCAAACATTTCAGAGGATTACAGAATTGTTGAGGTTGGAAAGGGGCTTTGAGATCATCAAGTCCAACCCTCAGCCAGCACCACCACTGTGTTCACCCCTAAACCATGTCCTCAAGTGCCACATCCACGGGGTTTTTTGAACACTTCTGCCCTGGGCAGCTGTGCCAGGGATGGACAACTCTTTCCATGAAGAGATTTTCCCCAATATCCAACTGAAACCTCCCCTGGCACAGCTGGAGGCCGTTCCCTCTCCTCCTGTCCCTTGTTCCCTGGGAGCAGAGCTCGACCCCCCCCCCCCCCCCCCCCCCCCCCCCC